TGCTGGGCTTGGAGAAAAACAGTTCTGTGTGCCCGATGCCACAACAAATCAGATTTTCTTGTGTCAAGGTTCTGATGAAAGACATAGTTACTCCGGTCCCTCAAGAGGAGGTAAAAACAGTCATCCGTAAATGCTTGGAGCAAGCAGCTCTAGTCAATTATACTCGACTATCAGAGTATGCCAAAATTGAAGGTAAGGCTCTTTCTTTGTGAAATTACAATTTTGTTATATTTCTAGGTGGCAACTGTGGCTGGGAGCTATTTAAAAGAAGCTCATTTGCTATTTATTCGCTTGTCAATAAAACTGATGTGATTCTGAATCTTTTTTTTGTGGTGTTGGCTTCGGAAGCAGTTAAGAATGGAAGCTATGCAAAATGTTTCTTTTTCTGGAAAAGAGGGAGGAAACAGTTAAAAGGAGCTGTAGCTTTTTGTGTGTGTGTGTGATCGTTAGTGCATTTGGCCAGTGGTGTAGGATTCAGACTCATGTCGTGGTTTTAAAAAGCAAATTGAGAAATACTTGGGATGTCATCTTTGCAGCTGAAGGTATAGTGCAGCTAATTGCTTGTGACAGTGGAGTTCAGGAAACAAGTGAAAATAAGAAGCTGAAAAACTGTTTAATCTATGCTTAATCATTCGTAGCCAATTTAAAATGTCTTTTTTCTGGGAGTGTTTCATTCTCGTTGCAGTTTGCATAGCAGTCATTGATCAGTGATCCCATACTTGCATCAGATTTCTTTCTTGTCACTCTAAATCTGGCAGACCTGATATTATTGACCTTTTAAGTTACGGGAGAATAATAACCAGTGACCAGAGACACATGTAGCCATCAAAAAGACATTTTAAAGCTTGCTGGAAGATATGTGTTAGCTGAAGCTGTATGATCTAGTCGTTCTTTACATGTTAATCAGTTTATGTTGGTACCTTGTTGGCTGCTGTTCCCAACTTGAAACTCCTACCCAACTTTATCCGAGTTCCCAATTGTTTAAGTCGTGTATGTTCAGATGAATGGTGTGTTCTGCTCTAGACTTTGGGTTTCTGTTATGTGTGATGTGAAGCTTTCCCACACCTGAGATTATTGTTGTATGCCTCTAGGACAATATTGAGAGGAGAAAAAATCCCATCCAAAACTCCCTCTGATTTGTTCATTGTTCTTGTTTACATGAAAAATTGGGTTGTTATATGACAAATTGTCCAGGTTCTGTACATGACATGTCCTCTCTTTTTCCATTTTTTTTTCTGTCTATTGATGCAAATTGTGTACCAGTGGTAATGAATTCATTGTTATGCATCCAGTGAGAAACACTTAAGAATTGGGCACTAAAAGGATGTTTATCAACTCTTGACTTGGTAATGAGTGACAAAAATAGAGAAGGAACGAAGGTTTCATAAGCACTGTATTATCAGGCAATTTATCGAAGTACTCAACTTCACAGGATATTTTAATTGGTGTATTCTGTAAAATGCAATGTTTAAATATACTTGACAAGGCTGGAGAAGGACTGAGAATCAAAAGCAGCTTTTCTGTTGATGGATGCTTCTAACCAGGGCTGACTCCCTTAGGTTCTCTGTGTAAATATCACTAACTCGTTGGTAAGATTTGCTCTCTTCTTTCAGATAAATCTATGCAAAAACAAACTTTATGATCTGTAAGTAAAAATGCATTCATTTCCAAAGTAGAACAGTTAGTGTGTACTTTTCCTTTTGTGCCTCAATTCTTCTTGGTTGTGTTAATTATCTGCCCTCTTTTTTGCACTGTGACTTTTAGGTCTGGGAATACTTTGAAGCAACAAACCTATTTTTTTCCAGCTACCTTTTCAGAGAAATAGTTCATTCCACACTACCTGCTCTCTTCTGCTTTTCTTCTCCTTTATCCGTGATTGGCCACAGCCACTTTTTGATACTGTCTCTATAAAAGTGGTTGTAACACCAATTTCCAAGCATGCTGGGATTGTTAGTTTGAACAACCCAACATCCGCCAGCTGCATGCATCAGGTTTTCTCTCATGAGCATAGTCCACAACATGTTCAAATGCTTTAGAAGAGCAAATCTCCAGTTTTCCTTGGTGAGATGCATTCCTGTGCACTGTATGTGGCTTTGAAATCTTGGTTTTGAAAGCTGACATTTAAATAGCCACGATTTAAGACAGTTTTGTCAGAGGTGCAGAACCAAATCAGTGGCAGCAGTGCTTGAGGCTATGCTTATGAAGAAATACCTGTGAAAGCCTTAGATACTGAAGGCTGAAACCCTTAGTATCTCGGAGCCTTAAACCAATGAAATTCTATTTCCCTCTATTCATGATGTTTTGATCATTATATTCTTGCGAGCAGTTCAGAGCAAATCTCTAGAGTCATGGTCACAGCCTCTCTTGTGACTCATGGGCATGCTGAATGGTTAATCCAGTAGATCTCCAATTTTAACCCTCCTTTTTTTAATTTTTTTCTTTCTTTTTTTTTCTTTTTATTTTGCCTTCCTTTTATCCTGTGTGTATCCCAAAATACTCTATGGCTATTTTTCCTTTTAACCTGATATAAAGTTTTCCTCTGACCTATAGCCTATAACCTCTTTACCTGTGACCTAAGCCTCTTGCATGCCCAAATCCTCTTTTATAGGGAAAAAGAGAGAAATGTATGAGCATCCTGTCTTCTGCTTGGCCTCTCAAGTGATGGATTTAACCATTCGTGAGTACCTACCACCCTCCTCTCCATGCTGTCCTCGCTCTTTCTGTTTTCATTTCCTCAAGAAAGTCCAGATCCAAACCAACTCACTCTCCTTGCTTCAAGTCTTTTAGCATTGGCTTTTCTGTTGCTTCTGTCTGTGAAAACCCAGTGTGAGAAGTCCAGTCACTTTTTATCAGCCTAAACCAGGTTAGACAATTAACCCATCTGTTTGTGATAAACTCAGATCGTCTGTAAGTTTTTTCAGTTCTTCTTTATGTCCGTGACCTGAATGCATTTTTACTTTGCTTCTGTGTAACCCCAATTTGTAAAGTGCTTGTCACTGGTACACAATCAAAAGGTAGCAGCTACATCGGGGAGAAGTGAGCTACAGGTCAGATAAAGGACACTTGGAAAAAGCCATCCCTTTGCCTGCGTATAAGATCTTTATGGAATCCTATGTATAAGATCGTATAAGGCTGTCCTTTCTCTGTACATCAGATCTTACGTGTCTCCTGTCTGTTAGCTCTCAAGCGGAAGGATGCACTTTACTTGCTCTCCTTTTTTACTTACTCCTTTACACCGAGCTCTGGAGGGGACGTCCCAGCCCGCTGTCACTTGGAGATCCCCTCTGTGTCCTCAGAGCTTGCCCTCTCTGGTTTTCTATTTGTGCAGCGTTTTCTTTCACCTCTGTGAAAGGAGCTTCTTTTGGTAACCCCATGCTTTGGGGAGGGCGGGGGGTGAGACGGGGCGACTTTTCTTCTTTCAAATGTCATATATCACGCATAACTGGGGGGCTGTGCGGTCCACTTGCTCATTAATCCTGCATATCTGTTCTTGTTTCTCTCTTTTCTCTCCTTGTTGCTTTCTCTCTTTCATATAGAGAATCAAAAGGACGCAGGTGAACAATTGTATATGCATTATAAATTGCTAGGACTGTTGAGTTATATTGATTTTGTTTTCTTTTCTCATAGCTCCTTAAGATATGTACTCCTTTAGGCTGAAAATGGAGATGCATTAATACTTAAGGAGTTAATTTGTGCTGTCTACGTAATCTTCTTTTCCTCCTTCCTTAGAATCGAGCGTAGATTAGAAATACCATGTAGAAATGTAGTACCTTCTTAGGAGTCAGTTTTAGAGGAGAATCTAGCCTTTGTAAAGTGAAAGTTTCTTGTTTTCCAAAAGAACTGGGTGAAAAAGTAATACTGGTGATTTGGCCATCAATCTACCACACCTAACAAGCCCATTTATAACTAAACTAACGTTCATTTTTGGTTTTCATATCTTCTGTTTTATGCCCTGATGGGAGGACTGGGTTTTTAATTGATTTTTTTTTTTTCCTTATTCTTTTGTTAATGTGAAACAAACAATCCAGTGGGACAGAAGTTGTGTTTGTCTCTTGTTTCTAACCTGTGGTGACATGTAACAAGGCAAAGGCTCAGCTCAAGTGCCCGTCTCTTCAGAAGGGATGGTGGAGCTCTGCGAGCCCCTGTTCTCGTTTCTGTTGTATCCCAGAGTCCTAGTTCGAAAGTCCTTGAAACCTGAACTGTTCATTCCTTTTTGTGAGTAGATTGTTCTGTTTTGTGGAAAAAAACAACCAAACAAATAAAAAAGGGATCAGGTTGATTTCACTTGGGTTTGCAAAGGGAAATTGCTTTTAAAAAACAGTACAAGAGGCTGGGCCAGGTTCTGCCCTGGCTTCCTCTGCAGCTCAAATGATTTAGAGCTATTGCATGACAGTAATATCAATTTTCAATAAATATTTATAAAAAGGATAATAATTTTTCCTTATGGCTGTGAGAGGTGCAAATAAACAAATACCAAATAGAACAATCCCAGCTCTTACCAGTAACTAACATTAAAGTGAGCACAGGCTGTTGTGCATGAAGCACAACCAATGCACTGAGCATCCTGCTTGCTGCTAGAGGCTCATTATGTGCTCATGGTTTAGAAATTTGGAAGGATGTTTCTATGGCCCAGCTCGTTTAAAAATAAAACTGCTTCTTCTCAATGCTTGGAGCAAGTGAAAGGACACGGGAGTTGTGACTCTACTGCTTCATGCCCACAGATCTGTTGTCTTAAATGAAAGATTTTCAGGCAAGGTCAGCAGGACTCACTTGAAACCAGTTCCTCAGCTTAAGTGGAGTTGAAAAAGTGACTGGGCTTTGGCCTGACTTGTTATTTATTTTGCCAGAAGCAAGAATAAAAATAAGATGCTGAAAACAACTTCTTTTTAAACACACAAATGTCACCCTTTGATGTCCTTTCTCCTGAGAAGTATGTAGCCTCTTGTCTTACTTTAAAAACATTAAATAGAACGTTAGACAAAACTCTATGCTAAAACAATTCAAGAGGAATGACTTGCTTTAATTATTCATCAGACAAAACTACTAACACTTAGATTAGTAAGTGCAACCTTTTAATAAGTGTTCATCTGCTTATTTATAGACCAGGAATCCATCGTTCCTTTAGAAAAGAGTCACTTCTCCATCCCTTAAGCCTGGGATTTGTGAAATGTGCTGCGCTGTGTTGGAGGGCTGTGGCACTGAGGGATCCCATGAAAACAAGTGCCACTTTGCACCGCGGGAGTTGGGTACAGGCAGCTTTGGAGATGGTGCCAGCCGAGGCGATCATTTGTCAGCTTGACAGTTGATTTGGTTTAGTGTAAGACTTTTTTAGTTTTCAGACCAACTATTTCTCATACTGTGATTTAGTTTTGTTCTCTGTAAGATAGGCTTCTCATGGTACCGCTGAGGTGATGCATAGAGGTGAGAAGTGGAGCTGTGCAGATGGAGGAAGGTCTCACCTTGGTGGAAAGGAACTGGAGAGTAGAGGGACCCACTGAAGCCCTATTGCTCTGCTTACCAGGGGAAAACAGCCACTCTGGGGCTATCCAAAAATAACAGGCAGCCTCCCTGTCCCCTGTTTTGGGAAGCAGGGCTCTGGAGGGACAACATCTCGCCGTGCTACATCACTGGCATGCTCTGTCCCCCCCAGATCTGTCCCTCCCAGCCAGGCTGATGGGGAATCCTTCCTTGAAAACACACCCAGCAGTGATGCCAGGGTAGGTGGAAAGCTGAAACCCCGTCAGTGCTGCCACAGAGCAGTGAGAGGCAACCACAGTGCCCATGCAGAGGCAGACATCTCTCAGTTGCCCACGTCAGGCTGTCACCAGCCATGGAGCATCTTGCACGTAGCACTCGCCCCAGCAGGCACAGAAAGCATCCTCAGCTGAGGAAGCGGGTGCAGAGGAGGTTGGTTTTTGACTAGAGCAATACAGCAGGTTGTTAAGAAGCAGTAGTACTTTTCAAGGCGTTCGTACTGGCCCTTGTCACAGCCTCCATGCTCACTTTACATCACTTCCCTATTTCTGGATCTCAGCCTGGAAAGCTCTGTCACATGTCCATAATTCTCAGTGAGTGTACTAAAGGGTTAGGAGCTGAGCTGCCTGTTGATTAACCTGGTCCAAGGCAAGGAGAGGTCCCGTGTGATTTGTCAGCCCAGCCACCACTTGTGATAACCCACAGTGCTTGAACAGAAAGTAAAATTACATTCCTCAATAAATATGGATGCAAAATGGATGAAAACATCAGTCTTTGTATGCAGGAGTGGAGACTGGAGCCATTAGCAAATCTTACACTTTCAATCAGGCATGACAACAACCTATATTTGTGTGCTGCTGATCTGCTGCTTTATTTTTCTTATTCCTTGAAGTGGCATTCAGTTGTGTTTAACGAAGAGTCATTATGCAGCTTTTGAGATTTCCTCTTGCCCTTTCCAAGGCAGTGTTTAAAACTGTATCAAAGTTACTACAAGAGCTTCAGAAATCAGAAAGATCTGCATTGTGCTGATATCTT